GGTAAAATAGTTCTTGGTTGTTATAATTTGGATTTTAAGTTGAATAACGACAAACAGCACTGGGTATCAAAAAACACACTGCTCTCTTTAAAAAATACGATTTGGAAATGTCTGTAAGTTCGGCTGGCCGTGACTAGATTGCCTAAATCCATAAATATTAATGTTTTGTTTATAAATACTTAATACAGTTCTGAGCAAACGATGATCTAATCTATTTCCTGAATTACGTGCAACTGGCAAAGATAAATAGGTAGGTAATTCAGAAAACCTGATGACAGACTATGATTCATTTCATCAAATAAGAAATCATTTTTTGTTCAGAGAATCTTAGTTTAGATCTATACTAATATTATAAAGAAGTAAAATTTGTAAGTTTGTATGTTTGCATGTAGGAGGCAATCTTTGCAACCGCTGGTCGGATTGCCAAAATTCTTTCACTGATAGATAGCTACAACGTTCCTGAGTGCTATAGGCTATAAAACATCACGCTACGATCAAATGGAGCCAAGCAGCGGGTGAAACCGCGCGAGGAAAGTTAGTATTTAAATAAAATAGGTACCAGTTATTTCAAAGGTTCATTTTGTATCGATTAGTGGAATAAATAAGTACCTGTATAAGTAGCAATATTTACAAATTTTAAAAATTAAGAAACTTGCCCCAAATTAGTATTTTCTCTTGTGTTGTAAGTGCGTTTAAAAACATAGAATTATACATACACATCACACTCAGACTCGGAACAGCAGTTTGTGGATCACACAAAGAATTGGTCCGTGCGGGAATTTACCCATTCTTATCTTTGAATAATTATTCAGAAAATGTGATAAATATAATATAAATATTCAGAAAATGTACTAAAAGAAAATTCTCAACATTTATTTGCCTTTTGACAGTTTCAAACAATATGATTTACTGTGGGTGTTCACCAAAAGATGTAGTACAGCTCTATCTTTTTAACTGTTGGGTGTATAATTAATTTGTTTATAAGTTTGATTAATGACTAATTAAACTACATTAATCTAAAGAATATGGTGTAGATCCGATAAATTAACTTCAGTACTGAAGAGTAACGATGGAGTTTCTTGTTCGTTCTTCTCTATTCGAATATCTCCAATTTGGAATGAGCAACCTAGCTTCAAGGAATGAGCACCCAGCTTTAAGGAACCCACTTCTCATGCCTGAGGGGGTTCAAAACCTGGCAAGTACCAATGTGACTTTTTCCGAGTTATATGTACTTTCTATGATTATTCAGACTCCACTGACATACGGTGAAAGTAAACATCGTGAGGAAACCTGGACTTATAATTTCTAATTAGGTAGGTATAAGTTTAAAATCGCCAATTGAGCAAGCGTGGTGATTAATGCTCAAACCTTCTCCGTTAAGAAGTTGAGAGCTCAGCAGTGGACACTTATAGGCTGATGATGATGATGACCTAGCTTCACTAACGAACAGACTGACAGATTACTTTTCTATTTGTACGTTTCAAAAGTACCTATTTATGGTTTAGTTGGAAAAAATGTTTATTACATTATACCTACGTTTATATCAGACAGTTTTCTCTCGGTCTAGTCTAGGCAGATGAGGTTGGCCAACAACAAATCCAGTGCTTATGTTTTGGTTGAGCGTCTTGATTTCGTTTCGCCTCGCAGTCGCGGCTCTTGCCTCGCCTCGCTTCGCTCGATCAGACAGACGGACGGCTGAGAAACATTGCGAGCCAAGATTTACGGACCACAACGTGTACTGTTCGCATAAACATATTGGTTTTTACGTTTAATTGTTTATTTATTTATATAATAATATGAAGGCACCAGGGGGTTGGTACAAACATACATCGCAGGGCGTCGGATTTTTATAATCAGACCGAATAATTTACAAAAATAACGGACGTCGGCGATTGGTCTCCTATGACAGTCACAGCGCTCGCTCGCCACCGTAACTATCCATTTGACGTTCCGCCAGAGTACGATTCATTGTACCCTCGTCCAATGAATTGTGATACAACTTCCTTCAAAATTCAATTTAAATAATCGACGCGCTGCCAAATATTATAAAGAGGTTTTTGTAAGTACATATGCAGAAGTTATATAATCTTTGGAACCGCTGCTCGTATTTCCAAAATTATTTCACTGATAGATAGCTACAATGTTTACCTCTTGCTGGTAGAATACGTATGTCAGGACGAGGGCTGCGATGGGGGAGTGACCTTGAGGTGGGGCTTTTGTTTACAACATTTTCTTGTTCATTATCTTCTTCAGCCAATTTGATGAAGACAATATTAATTCAAAGTGGTATTTAAGAGAATTAAGGTTCGTAAATTATGATCATGATGTTTCATAGGTATTTGTGTGACTAAACGACCTCCAATAATAATAATGATAATATTATTATTGGAGGTCGTTAATTGGCTGGCTTGAGTGGAGATTCGCAAGAGTAGGAGGTGAAGGAGACTCGGGGGAAGGATGTGTCTCAGTAAGGTGCTGGTAGGGGTCTTGAACGTGCTTCCGGGATTGCTCTGATAGCCGTGGGATGCCTCTCCTTCCCCAAGCAACTCAACGTATGTTGCCTCCGTGTCGCTACATGCTAGCGGCCGTTTCCGGAGCCCATTAATTGTGTTTGCCAGTCACTGGCCAGGCCTATTTATCTGTACCTATGTATCAATATTGGTCAGGGGCAGGGGCCATAGTATTTCCATAGTTGTCATATCCACGAGTCTATAGCAACCTATACCCATAACCCTTTTAATTATTACCACATTTCGCAAAAGTCCTGCATCATCCTCTGCGAGTTGGCTTCGGCCCCTCGTACGCCTTTCCAAATGTCCGGGAACCTGTATCGCGTGAACGGAAACGAAAGTCAAAGTGGTATTTAAGATATGGCATGGTATTTGTGTAACTAAACGAACCCCAATTAATATTGATAATATTTTATTATTAAATATCATTAATATATTGACGGTTGTTTAGCTATCCCTACAAGCTAATTTAATCTGCGAGTGCGAGCATCGCCAGTTTATCTCATTGCCCCGCCAGAGGGCGCTTACGTCCGATACCAAATGCAATCATTTATAATTGTTTGTTTTACCTCTTTTTGTAAAACTTCTACGATAAATAGGTTTCTTAATAACTTTCGTTTATTTACGCTCTGGCTAAGATTATTAGTAATTCACCATCAGCCTATAATGGAATATATTTATAGAGAAGGTTTGAGCATTAATCACCACGCTTGCTCAAGGCGGATTGGTGATTTCAAACTTACCTGGACTTGTAAGTGAATTTTTCACGATTTTTCCTTCACGGTTTGTCAGTGGTATCTAAATAAATTCTAGTACTTGCCAGGTTTCGAACCCACACCTGCATGAGATGCGCCTTAAGCTCCGGGCCACTGAGATATTTATCATCTAGTGTCTCTTATATGTAAAGAAATAAAAATGATTGTAATATCACGGCTTTTATTCCCCATGGTATAGGCTGAGGCCATTATTTGCTATTTCTCAACAACGTTCACTAAATTTCAATAAAAAAAATACTTACCCAAACCGAGAGCTTAGCTATTAAACTAGTAAGAGATTGTCGCCAAAGAAATATAGCAAGTACAAAATAAAACAATCAAAGTTTATAATTAAAAACAAAAATTTTATTACAAGTTCATTTTTTGGTAAATGCAATGAAATTATTACCAAGTAATAGAAATAAAACAACCAAAATAATATTATAAACTATTACACATTTTATGGCATCAAAACATTTTTTTTAGTTAATCTTTTAAGCTATAAGTAGAAGCTGTACCTATGCTTAATAGTTAAAATGTAAAAAATAAATAATTAAAAATAATTACAAAAAAAAGTTGTAACAATGCTTACGATTTACGATTAGTAGACTTGGCATTTTTTCACAGAAATTAAATAAAAATACAGAAACTCGACTGAATTTTTAGTTTTAGGTTTTTCCGATGTAAATGTGACTTATGCCTGAGAGTACCTTAGACAGATACCTAGGCGGTAATTAACTGGCTAAAGTTTGGTTTCTAGTTTTTTAATCCAAACTAATACTATAAATTCGAAAGTAACTCTGCCTGTCTGTCTGTCTTTTCTTCACGCCTAAACTACTGAACCGATTTCTGTGAAATTTGGTACAGACTTAGTTTGGAATTCGAGAAAGGACATAAGATAGTTTTTATACCAAAAACCTGCAGGAAGTCACTATTCCAGGTCACCGAAGTCGCGGGCAAAAGCTAGTTGTTTATGAAATAGATAAAATAGACTTCAAACAAATTACAAATCTCATAAAATTGCGGGCTTGTATGTAACTAGTTAAATAAGCCAGTTTAATAAATAAAACTTCATCCTTACGATATTATAATATTTGTTGTAATATTCTTATACAAATACAAAGCAAATATGGGGCAGGGAAAGTGAGTTGATTTCATACTACGTGACTTTATACCAGCTGGTGGCCAAAAAAGCATTACTTTTAATTTCAATGCAGGTCACTACTATAAACTTGTGCTTAATTTGTATACTTACGTGTTTTTAAATAACAATTTCTATCTACTTTTTTTTCAAAACATTTTAAATATTTCCTTACAGATATTAAGTACATTTCGAACTATTCAAAACTACACTTGATGCCAAATTTACTAGGTACAAAGACACACTCAATACATTTTACCTAAAAAAAAATATCCTTCTGTGAAAAAATGTGTCGTTTTCGTAAATCTAAAAAGTATTTACATTAATAATTAATTAGTAACTGGCAGTTTCAGAAGGCACTTAATACATTTTATTTAGGAATTATTTATTCATTTTAATTCATATTTTAAGCATTTTTTTTTCATTTAAGCTAATGCGATATGTTTTTGATAGGCACTCTGTATTGTCTTTATGTTCGAAAAATACGTACAAACTTACCTAACGATAATTTACTGTTTCTCATTTATTTGATACTTAAATTACAACATTTTTATTTTTTATTGCTTTATTGACATTGTCCCCTTCCACCCAGTTTAGCACAATGAGAGATCTCGGCTGGGTGTCAGGGGCTTATTAAATAAATTAATAGAGATAATGCCTCCCAAAAACATTAATATTTTTTTATTTATTACAAAGCAACCTTATTAGTACATTATACCATTAGCTATGTATTCGAAGTAATATCGAAGGTGTAACGAATAGTCAACGTAATTTTTAAATAAAGAATCACACGTGACTACGTTTTTCTACCACATTTAATTTAATTTAAATATATTCGATACACCCCCAACATATAGTGTTATCTACCACTTTTAGTAAACCTAATAATTAACTTAGATCACATTTTCAACAACTCACGCATACATACACACATTTTTACATTTATAATTATCACACGACAAGATTTAATCTTTCATTCGTTTTATATTTAAAAACATTAATTCATTTTAAATAAATTAAAAATGAACATTTCATTTGAAACTTATATTTAATTTATTTAAAATGAAAATTCATAACCTCAAATTACATTTTTCCTTTTTTACTTTCTAGTATGGCGTCCGAAAAATATTTTTTTTTATTCGTGACTAGGTTTTATTATAATAGAATAGAGGAAAATATGATTTTTGATAAACTTTTCATTTTCTTTGTAAAAAAGACATGAAAAGTTTGGAAAAATTCGTTTTGTCATGAGGGAAAAATATTGTACCAAAGTTTTTTGTACGGAACCTATACTGTTTTAAATGGACTCTAATTTTTATAATGTTATAGTTGAAAATAGATATAGAAAATACAGCTCGTATCAATTATTTTTCAAATTGATTATTATGTAATTTTTTTCGCACTTATTTCAAAAATTGTAAATATTATGCATGAGAGTTATCGCACCTGAATTAAAATGTGATACCTCTCATCCATAATTACTTAGGGCGCTAGTGGGCAGTAGTGAAAAAAGATTCTTCTTCAACATTAAATAGACCACAACACGAACCATGGCCTGATGGTAAGCAATCGGCGTCGTCCATGGACGCCCTCGACTGGTCGAGCCAGCCAATTCGAGTTGAAGCATGGCTCTCCCACATTTCGCAGTGTGAATAACTTCGCACCTTGTTTTTTTTCTAAGTTGGAACTAAGTTACCTTATAAAAAATCTGTGTTGAAATAATGTGAAAATTTACAAAGCGCAAACTTACCCCCACCACGAAAAATCTGGTCGGAAACAATACATGGACAATGCCAACTAGCGCCATCTAGTGGCTAAAAGTGATCATTTAAAATTTATAAACATTGACTCTGTGATGTCAGTACCTATCGAAGCTAGTGGAGTCGCGACTTGTCACGTCGCTGGCAGCGTCAGTCGACGAGCTGTCGTCAGGCGTGTCGGACGTCGCGCCTGCGTCAGACGTTCCAGCTGTATCGCTGGTGACGCCTAGATCAGTGGTCGGATATCAAAGATGTTCGTCACGCCCGTTCAGGGGTTGTCGCTCAGCGTGGTCTGAGGGGCGATTACGCTTGAAGAATCCGCACTGGAAAATAACATGGAAATATTGGTAACTATGTAAAATTAGACGAAAAGTTGAATAAGACGTTAATGTTACATCTAACAAATACGTAATTGGCAGAAATGGGAGATGTAATAAGAGAGAAAAAGTAAAAGAGAGTGAGATAGATAGATATAGTGGGCTTGGGAGGAAGAAATAGATCATAAAGGATATTTTTTCTCTTCTGCCGCCTCTTAGTAAACATGGCTTTTACTTTTTATGTTCTGCTATATTCTGATCTCTTCTACATAGGTCTACTTTACTAAGTAATTAAGTTTACTTACTTTGTAGAGTGCGAAGATGAGAAGTAGAAGTAGGAGAGCGCCGATAATAGCGGCGAGTATAACAACCCAGAGTGGGATGGTGCCACTGTCCAGCGCTTCCAGTCTTGGTGTGATGAGAGTCTGGGCTTCTGCTGTATGCCAGGTCCTGTCTGTCGGCCGCCCGACCATGGGCAGACGAGAAACGCGCGCTGCGGCTAATGTTGACAGGATTACCGCGCGGTCCTTGGAGATCTAAAAATGTGATTAATAGTCAGAATAGTTGACATAGACGATATGATGTCAGACGTTTCATTCCCTATTGGGGTAGGCAGTATTGATTCACTAAGGTACTTCCAGTATTCTCCGGAAATTATATTTTTATGTTCGATAGTAACTAACATATTAAGAGTTGCCAGAATTAGCAATTTTCTTTAGGGAACTTAATATGAAAGATGGTGGTAATCGTCAATCTCTTCGAGGTTGTTCATATTTCGGTTCCTTACCTCACTAAGTACTGATGCGTTGATCCTAGATCTGAACGCAAACCAAGCCTCCTGCCCCTTCATCATGCGACCTGTTGTACATCTCAGCACCTCGCACTTGTACTTTTCCTCACATTTTTCAAGAATCTGCTTCAACTGTGGGTCCACCTATAACGAGAGAACATGATTACTCAGTTTTTTTGCAAACCTGTTTACTAAGTTTAGTAACAAACATACTTGATCTAAGTTCCACAATTAATAATAATTCAGCAATACTCACTTGATCTTGACGCCGTCTCCTGGTGTTTTCACGACGTTCAGAAGCACTAAAACCATTGCCAGAGTGACTGCTGTATGACGTATGACCACCTAAAATGGAAACAAACATTTGAATTAAATTATTTTATTATTGGCACCACACATGTAGGCTGTATTTTTTATCTTATGATAAAACTTACCAGACGACGATGATGAAGAGTAAGAGTATCCACTGCCACCGCTTCTGTAACTTCCACCTCCACTTTGGAAGGATCCTCCACCGCTCTGGTAGGCTCCTCCACCAGTTTGGAAGCTGCCACCGCCAGATTGGTAGCTGCCACCTGCACCATGTACAGCGCCAGCTCCTGAACTTCTCTGACTTCCACCAGAACTGCCACTGACGTCAGCAATGCCATACTTAAACTCGTTATTAGGATTATACGCAGCATTAACACCAAAACCTTCAAGTTTGTCTTCTTCCTCATCTCCTACAACAGTGACACTTGAGGAGCCTCTGAAGGTTGATGAGCCAGCATTAGCTATATCAGGGTTGACAGTTTCTGTGGTTGCCCAGGATCCGTGGACGAAACCTTGGCCTTGACCGGAATCTGGTGAGAAACCTCTTGATCCTGCAGAACCGTAAGATCCTGATCCCTGGCTGTAGGTGCCAGACCCTTGGTTATAGGAGCCAGACCCTCGGTTGTATGTTGCAGATCCTTGGTTGTAGCCTCCAGCGCCCTGGCTGTAAACTCCTGATCCCTGGTTGTAGCCGGAACCTTGCGAGTAAATGCCTGACCCTTGGGAACTTGTTTGCCAAGAACCTTGGGCATGTCCTTCTGAAGATGCTTGGTTAACACCACCTTGGTTAGCGTATCTGAAACATATAGAATAAATATTTAGTATATTGTACTTATGTTTCTGTTATCAAATGACAATTATATAGTGCTAGATAGTATAAATACTTACACATTAAACGAGCTACCAGCTTCTCCTTCGTGTCCAAGATTTCCATATTCAGTACTTGTTTCAATTTCGGAAATAATGTTATGATTAGCATCATATATGATTGTCTTGTTCTTGACTTTCACGATTGAACCTTGTCCAAGACTACCAAATGCCCCATTTTGGGTGCTCCAGCTACCTTGACCAGCTCCAGACGCGAGAGCAGCCGCTAGTTTCTTCCTGATTTCTTCTTTTTGTTCTGCAGTCAGGTCTTCACTGTCTTCAAAGGAGCTCCAGGTCTGGTTATATGTAAAAGTGCCTTGATGGCCTTGACCACCAAAATGGCCACCTTGGTTTGCAAAGGATCCCTGGCTACCACTAAATTGACCATTGGCAACCCCCTGGTTTCCACTATATTGACCATTTACAGTTTGGCTGGTAACAAATTGTCCATTTCCACTATGGCCGCCAACGAATTGTCCATTGCCACTCTGGGTTCCAGTGAATTGGCCATTGCCACTTTGACTGCCACTAAATTGGCCACTGCCAGTCTGGCTGCTAATAAATTGCCCTCCATTTTGGCTACTGCTGCCACTGAAGTGGGTTGAGCTGGAGCTCGAGCTTCCACTAGAGTGGCTGGACTGTCCAGTACCGTATCCAGAACCTCCTAAGTTGACACTGCCAGTGCTACTACTGCCAGTTTGGTAGTTGAATTGACCACCGTTGGATAAATCATCCCAGTACACTGAAAAATTAAGTAGTTATCAATAAACTATACTATCAAGTGAAATATAATTTTCAATCAAGTAGTTATTAACATACCTTGTCCGTAATATCCACCACCTCCTGAGGTTTGCGATGCGGTGTAGAATTCGCTACTCATCATAGCTGAAAACAATACACATTTATAAGTTTAGAACAGATTGACAGCATTTGTTTCATGCTTGCGGATAAATAAATTGGCAAAAAAATAATACTTATAGCTAAATTATGATTCTCCTATCTGAGGCCAAACATTTGAGAGTTTAAATACCTAATAGATAATCAAACATACCTTCCCTCTCCTTCGAGAGCAGGAATTCGTAGGGTCGCTCCACGAACAAGTTGGCGTCGTTAATGTGTCGGGCTATATCGCACTTGACGTCGCCCAGGTATTGGGGCTGTACCAGCATGTACATCAGATTTTCACCTAGAATTAAAAACATTAATAGATTAGTATCTGGCATTTTTGCTGATGAATGGTATAAAGGTAGACGTTTCATTTATTATCTTCATCATAAATCATTTAAGTGTGGAAACGCCACGCTTCGGAGGATACCACGACTTCACAGAAAACCGGCGCTAACAACCAGATTACTGTATTGTAACTCCCTTTCGCAGAATCACTCAAAAAATAAAATAAAAAGGTAATAGTTACGCTCATCGTCATATCAGTCTCAAGGTTGTGAGAAAAATATTTGAAGGTCAACATGTCTACTACAAAGAAAATATCATGAATCTTACCTTCAAGAGTCTGGTAGGGCCACATGAAATATATCTCGGCTTCCTCAACAGTGAATGGTCCCTCGTTCTTCAAGTTGTATTTGTGGATCACTTGAGGGCCAAGTTTGGTATCGTCTTTGATGTTTTGTGTTTCGTATTGCGAAGCATTGTAGTGTAGCTCAGGCGCGTCTGATGTTCTGCAAAACAACGGAGAATATAGTTTTCTCTCTGGGTCTCCAAATCAAAAGATCAAGTCTCTCACTTTATCAACTCCAAAATGCCAAAATTCCTTAGTATGCCTATTTGTGAGAAATAAGTGCAAGATAAGTACGATTTCTGGGTTGATCAAAATATGTAACATTTTTTAGATCATTTATAAGCACAGTCACAAACTACACCGTGCTAAACCTATAGAAATAATAATGTTGAGATCAGATAAATTTAATGTAATAAATGTAAAAAGTGACAAACACGACTTACCCAATGATGGACAGGTGTGCTCTAACGACGACACCGATGTTCATATGCATGGAGTTATCGTACATGGTGTCTTGTTCCACGTTGGTGGAGTTCGCTTCCATGTCGAAGCCCAGTGTGGTCACGCGAGCATCCACTTCCAAGATCAGGCGGAAGTTTACCTACAGGCAAATATAGACAATGAATACAATGTTTTAATAGCTATTATCTGTAAATATAGGTAACATTAAGATCTTAAAGTACATCTGTGATATATCTTTGATCTCAGGTTGTTTTCATTAACGTGAAAGACATTTAATACATTTTAGGACAATATTGAACGCTGATTCAGGTTTAAAAATCACGTCCAACGAAAACAAATCAGAAATATTCGAATATATGAAATTAATTGTTTCTACAAAAGATAATATACTTTCCACGATGGCAATGATGCATAAACTAAAAATAATCAGTTATGGCGAATGAACAATAAGAAAACTATTAAAATTAGCTTACCTTTTGCCCACTAGCCATGGGGTTTCCAAGGTCACATTTCAGAGTGGTGTTACCATCAGGAAATCTGTTGGTGATGGAGCAGTATATCAGAGTGTCCGTGTCCTTGTCCAGACGTTCCATTTTGGCGTAAGTCACTCCTGATGGTATCATCAGGTAGTAAGCGGCTTCGAAAGCATCTTCACCAGAGTTTTCCACTTTGACATCAATGTGGAGGTTCTCGCCAGATCCTAGCACGTAGTTGATTGTAGGGCTGGGGAAAAGTTTATCAAGTATCAGTACGGATGGAGATGCAATTTTGATCAATATTGCACTGTTCATAAATTTAATAAATCATAAGAGCACGAAACAGATGTCTGGTGCGAAATATAACAAAAGAGACATCTTTTTTTTTCTTCCGAAAATTCTTTTTTAAGAATTTGTTTCAGTATAGAACTCCAAATCTTTGCAAGTACTTACGTGGTAGCAGCCATCTTCAAATCAGGTATACAGATGTTATCAGCACCACAGTTCTTCTGGATGTTGAGTGAGTCTGTGTGCATGATGCTGTGAGTCTGGTCCAGGACGGGAGGCACGATGTTACCGGATGGCTGGTTTACAAGGTCATATGACATCTTCACTTCGATTGGCGTCAGCTTGTCGCGGATTTCATCCTGGAATGTTAAGGATGCCATCGGTCAATTTTGCTCAGTATTTTTGTCATTATGATTGTCCCTAAAGAATATTTTCCCCTGTTATGGTATTCAGCTATAGTTCACCTGGTCATCAGATCCAGAAAGCGAAACACGAGGATAATACATCAATACAATGGCTTCAAACGTAAGATAGAATTAAATTGGCAGCCACAATTTACTATCATCGTCATCATCGTAAGACGGAACAAAGGTTACCTTCCTATTACTCGACGCCGCGCCGAAGAGGCACAAAAGTTTTCGAATACATCTATGTTAATATGGTATTACTCCTTTTTACACATTAAAAAGTAACCTGATCTAAGCAAAAGGTACTTACGTCCAAGTACACAATGATATCCTTGCACTCATGCTCTCCCTGCGTCAACAGTATCTGAGTTTTGTACGTGGTCTCCCTGGTCTCCGCGAGGAACAGTCTCTTCGTGGTCTTCTGCCGTGAGTCCAGCTCCAAGGTCACCTCGAATTCTAGAGATTGAAGTTTTAAATTAGTGATGCTATGTACGGATTTTGCGTAACTGAACTGTTTTAACTGCTCTCCCCTTGTTTAGTGGTGATATGATGAAGTAGAAAGAGATGAAAATAATGTATGATTTTATGTATACTAGGATAAAAAGAGATAGTGTATGCTAGAAGTCTTGAGCGAAATGAAAAGAAAGACAGAGAAAGAGCGATATTTTAGTTCAGTTACACCAGAGTATCAGCTACTATTGTGTAAAAAATGGACAGTGCAGTCACTTGCACAACTAACACTGATTAACTAATACTAACAAATAAGACAATTATGTATGTACATCATTTCCTAGTCCATTAATCTCAACATCACCTCAAAGTATCAAGTCTTCTGATGACACTTGCATTGACACATAAAGACTTGATACTTAGGAATTTGAAATTAAAAGAAAATGTTGTGTTGCTATGACAATTTGGACCGTATGTGATACCAATTAGCGCTACTTCGACGACTCACCGAAATAGCAGATATATCCTTCCGCTTGGAAAACAAACAATACATTATTGTGACTCTCAATTTTATTTGGAAAAGGTTAAATACTTTAAAATAAAACACTTAAAAACAATACCATAACGCAATATAAAGGGCAAATTGATTGGAAAAAAATTTAATAAGCACTTACTAATTTGCTGGTCCACGTTAACGCCTCCATACGAGAGGCAGAACATAACCTGCGCACACGCAACCGTGGTCCCGTTAGCAAGGTGACACTTTTTGTCAGTCAGCGAGATCAACTTGCTGTCCACCAAGAACTTCACTTCAGCTGTCACTTTCACTACTGGACGAGACCTGAAAAAAGACGAAAATGTTACAGAACAGGACCAGGGAAATAGGCAAAGTTGGTTGAGAGGCGACAAGATTCTCGTTTTGACCTTGAACTAGCAGAGCTTTTCTCAGTACGTGTGAGTAATCCGTATTTTGAATGAATCTCATTAAGGACACAAAATAAAACTATCTAATGGTGTCCATGGACGGCACCGATTGCTTACCATCAGGCTATCCGACCGCTTGTTTGTCGTCCCATTATATAAAAAGGAAGGGATCGAAAAAAAAACTTACTTCAAGAACACGACGCTATCAGACTTATAAGCACCCACAGCCAAGTCAGTGTAGTTATTGTTATCCAGGTCCACTCCTCCGGAGAGGGAGAATCCGAATGTCGTGAGGGTGGGGGAGATCTCTTCAGCAGTGATGGCTTGGGAGTATTTCTCATGGATGCCCATCGCACTGCCATGGTAGATATAGACGACACCACGACCGTTTTCACCACCATAAGGTGCGCCGACAGCGATGTCTGGAAACCAAATTGTATTGTAATTTAAATAAAGCCTTTGAAATATTTAACGTAATGGACTTAGACCCTATTACTCTACAAATGTAATCAAGTTGTTTCAGTTGTAGAAAACATGTGATTAGCTGATGCTGCTAATGTGCATCAGGCAAAATTGCAGACTGTGTGTGTGTATTTTTTCTTCTCTCTAATCTACACACAGGACAGTACATTTTTACCCTTTGACTGCCGACGAAACTGATGTCAGGCAAATCCTCCGTAAGCGTTGACCAAAATTGACTGCGTTGGCAGTATAGGGGGGTTAAGGAAGCATTAGGTTGTTTAATATCTCTTGGAACGATTATATGATGATGGATAAGAAATATATACCTCCGAAGGTGTCGTAGTTGATATCACCGAGTGATGTGACAGCCAAACCGAATCTGCCTCGGGAAACTTCTCCGGTCCTAGCATGGCTCCTTGTGAAAGACTGTTAAATAAGGAAATTATAAGGGTTAAAGATAAAAAAGATACTCTAATGAGTTTACGTGTATGGCGACAAAAACCTAAAGACTACTTTTCAGACTATTAAATGACCAACTAACGCATATTGAATTCATAATACTAATGTTTCAGAGAATAATGCAGTGTCAAAGGAAGTAGTTTGCTTAGATTTTTTGACAACGGCTGGTCATCAAATGTCTCATGTTTGAGGCAAGAGAAAGCGTCAGTCTTTCTTACTGACCAAAAATCACCATTCTTTCTGCTCTAGGCAAGCGCTGTCCCTTTCTGTGTATAAGCATTTGATTATAACTACGCAGTAATCGTAAATAGTTGAGCTTACCCTGTCCTTGTCCTGGTAAATCACATAAATTCTTCCGTGTTCAAATCCATCGGTCTTAGTTCTGGTGAACATTGGAGCACCAACAATGACGTCATCGAAACCATCGCCATCAATGTCGCCAGAAGCAATACTGTAACCGAAGTAGGCACCAATCTGCGAGCCACTAATGTTCTTGATGTTTTGGAGCTCCCAAGTATAGAGAACAACCTGGAATGACACAAAAATATGGTTTAATTTAAAATTAATGAACGTAGGTACATTGAGGAAGTCAAAAATACAACGAATGAGCGATCATCAATTCAGCAGATCAATTAAGAACATTATTCATTGAACCAGATGAAAAAATTTGCTGAATCCATGATTGAAAGTTCTTTTTCGACTGAATTATACATTAGTTCTTTGAATTATATTTTATATGCGTTTCGAATAACCAAAGGTATATAAGTTTCATTTACCAATCCTTTGAGTCCAGCTCCTCTGGGCACACCAACAGCAACACTCTGAATGCCTTGACCAGCGAAGTCACCAACAGCAATAGAGTATCCCATGTAAGAGTCATCGTATTTAGGACTAGCTTCAGGAGTAGCAATCAGAGCTGGACGACTTCCCATCGACTGAGACATCAGCTGACCTAAAATAAGGAAACGAATTAGTCCCAAACTCATGATTGGTATATCCATAGTTCCATCTGGACGATGAGAAGCAAAAAAATTTTATAAGGTATTTGATATTTCCAATAGTCGTTTACATATTCTTGATTGACTAAACTGATACGTGAATGTTAGGCCGAAAAAGGGTCTTTATAGTCGTCCAAATGGAACCAATGATTACAATGAACCAGCAGAAAACGTCAATCATTCGTGTACAATGTTCCATGATCTGTCATTAGATGATGTTCAAGCGATCCAGCAGCCAGGGAAGGCAGTTCCATGTGATGATGGTATAACATCTCGTATCATATAATACAGGCGTCTCTATAACGCTTTTGATTAGGTTATTAGCATACATAATATGACCAAAACAGGTGTAATCACACCATATCAAGCGTGAGATTCAGGGATATCTTATATTGTTAAATATATCACCAAATCCTTGTTACAGCGACCGTAGTATTGTAGAATTAATTTTGATAATGACTTTGGCGAAACACATCTTTATAATGGACAAATGAAACACTAAATAAATCTTACTTAGAGTTCCATTTGCCTTATAGAAATTTTGAGAAATAAATAACAGTTGTGTTTCGCCAGAGCAAAAAGCCAATGACGTTTTATAGTTTAGTTTTAAAGCATGGACACGTTTGCGGTTATTATCATTTGAGTAATATTAAACACCTATTTAACCCGGATTTAAACTAAAACTAGATACTCCATGGGAATTACAAAAATCATTCCTATTTACACATTTTCTTTTACAAAAACATTTTATTCTTACTGGGAAGAGGTAGTATTTTAATAGAACTATAATTTTATCGACAACATGCTGTAGTTGTGATGATTAGGCTTGGATGTGTCTGTCCATCATTCGTTGGACACGGTGATGTAACACGTGTTGCAATCGTGACGGAATACAATGATATCATCCAAGTAGACAAATTGTTAGCACAAAGAAAATGAAATGGATCATCTAATATTCTAATCTGTCGTGCACAACTTTCGTTACATATAAACTACCGCTAAAAAGTTTTACAGAAATTAATGGTATTTTGAAGATTTGGAGAATGTGGAAGGTATCTGGTAGAACCCATAGGGTAACCGTAGAACACCATGACTTTAGGAAAGCTTATGATTTCAGCACTATTTATGGGAAATATTACAAGCAAACTGATGTAGATGTTGCAAAAATATTTGACCATAAATAGTTGTTAGCAGTTTCTATTTTAAATTCATTTTATATGTTCAAGTATCACTTTGTATGTAAGTTATACTGAAGATAATTTCGAAATTAACAATGTTGATTCCAATACTTAAAACCTATAACTTATCAAAGAACAAAAATCTTTTAAAAACACTAAAATCATTATTAAAGAAAACCAAATCAAAATCGACACTTCAAGTTAGAAATTATAATATAGAAAAGCAAGCAAATTTAGAATAGTTAGCGACATATGTGTATGACATCGGATTAATGTTATTGCGTTAAAAGCTATGGAGTGTACTCGAACAACAAAAATGTAATTTAAAACAACTGTCCATGTTCAAGGCGTTGATTTTGGATTAGGCGAATTGAGGCCTCTCTATGTTATTACTGTTAAAAGTTAAGTTGTCAATCTTGCTGTACGTCTGGATATGTTTACCTTCTTCCGGTATTTTCGGCATATAGAAGATGAACTTTTCTTTCGGTTCTATTGATAACGTTCGCCCTGTGGATAATTTTAGTGTCAGTTATCATATCGAATGCCTCTCCAAGGTCCAAACTGTTTGGAGATTACGTTATGTTATTTGGTCGTATATTTTTTAATTTTAAACCAGTCTTTGCTGCATTAGCTTTGTCTGTTACGTCATTATTTTCATTGTTAACTATATTGGACATATAAAACAATGTCTTTATTTGTTTTTTATTTGAATCAATAGCGTCTCGGTCATAGACATTAACATTTTCATGTTTATATGCAATATTATTATCAATATGCTGTCGAATATTTGTTGCATCTACATTATATGATTTGGCAACTACTATCTATTTTGCTATAGTAGTAAGTCCAGTATGATTGATTAATTTCAAAACATTCATGATCTTCATCCTTGGTGCTTGGTCTACTGAGCACCCATGCGCAGCTAGGCAGCCACTGCATCTAAATTCGATCTATAAAAAATGTATGCAATCTAAATTAATTGTTAGTATGTACGATTATGATGTAACTTTACCTTGCCAGAAGAAGCTGCCTGGTGCACCCATGAATAGTCGTTGTCCATCCTGGAATTTAGAAGAACAACTATTTAAGTAAATGAAATGATTAAGTGATCGTAAACATTCAAGAAGTACGGAAGTATATTAACAGCCATAGATTCGACGTCGCGGTAAATCTTAATTATTTATCGTGTGTGCCAATTTACTTTTTGGCATTGATTATTTAGACCTTACTATTTTTTTTACGTTTCCTCACTGTAATATTTTCTCCTGTGTAGTGGGTGCGTTTACAAACATACAATGTCACCTATCTACACATCACGCCCTGACCCGGAAAAACAATTTGCGAATCACAGAAATGGTTGTGCCCTGTGTGGAACCACCAGGGGAACAACCAGTTGCCCAGCCAACGCGCCAACCAAAATTATGTTAATGATCATGCCCTAAAATTTTTACAGGCCTTACTTCAAACATCAACAAAATACATTTTAGAGTACTTTAAAAACAATAAAAGTTATCTAACTCTGTGTAACATCGGAGTTTTAGAAGGAGCATCAAATGAAAGTGTTTTATGATTACACTTTTAATGGTTATGTATGGGTGGATTCCTACTCTACCCTGGATTGGCCTGGAGTGCCGTGGCCTGGCCTAATTGCAACCAGGGTAGATAAAGTGCATTGGTTTATAAGTGTGTGATGTCATTCAGTTTGAGTTTAACATACACAGTGACCAACAGGTTGGGGATTAATTTAAGAGAGGTCGCAGATATGTTTGACTCTACTCAATTTTAGTTTTTTTTTAAATAATTTTTGTCATGTTTACAATTATTGTTGTATTGGAGATGTGTCAGATACGCGCACTAAGAAGAAGAAGTACATTATGTAAATTAAAAAAATGCATTTAAATCAAATCAATATTTAACTTATGTGTATTTACAATAGTTTTAAATGAAATTTATTTAAATTAAATATTGATTATTAAAGGATCTGACATAGAAATACACGTTATAAATAAAGTTTTAGGGTATCGACCAAAACTATTATTGAACACTACAATTTAACTTTATTATTTGTTTATCTTTTCCGCTACCTCCAATAACTTACTCCAAAACAAAGTAAAGACAAAAAACAGACGCCACGAATCGGTGCGTGTGAACGTGTGAGATAAGCCGCCCCCCGACTCAACTTACAAACTAACACTTGACGAGAACCTCACAAAAAAACGTGTAAACATACACACACAACAACACAAGTTGCCATCTGATAACTTGAGCTGTGTCTTCGCAAATTGTCGCTTAAGCAACATTTTTTTGTGATTGCACCATTTATTTTGTTGTTCTGTTGAAGTAGAAAAAACTAGACAGGTATTGTCTTTTAGTTTGTAGGGGTGTAGACTAATATATTACCTAGTTCGAACACATTTTTGTATTTTTTTTAAAGTTATCTTAATTTTTTGCTTTTGGTGATACCTTTGTTTGGTCAAAGGAACAAACTCACTCGATGTATGAACTTATCAACTAGAAGAAAATAATATAGTTGCTGAAAATTGCAACTTTTCTGTAACTATGTGGAAGAAATATAAATAGGGATACTTATATCCCATATGAAACAATTTGGTATAAGTAAGTATAAGGAATTCCATGTCAAACCAATCGCTACTGAATTTACATAGTACTTTAGACCACTGAGACAACCGCCCCGAACATTACAGAAGCGAATATAAATTTATGTAAACAACACATAAATAAAACATAAGTTAACGTAAAAGTACACAAATCTGTCATTGGTATAAAAATAAAATAGTAATTCATAAACCAAAAATGGCGCTAGCAACCCTAAAAACAACATAAAAGCCTAGACGTTTTAGCATTGAATCAGCGTACGCAGGCCAATGAATAAATATGCGCGTGCGCGCCATATACAGCGCATGCGCGAGTATCGCTGCAGCGGAGGGCAGAATGTCAAAACGATGCGGCTCTTACTGCTTTTGTATACTTCACTTAACTACATGTTGAGTTAAAAGGTAGGTTTAAAATTATAAATTATTTTCACTGACTGTTAACATATATAAGCCTAAGATAAGAGACTTAAAAATGTATACATAATAAGGTAGATACACTTACATAAGTGGCACTAAAAGGTGACACTTAATCAAATTACAATTTACAATGCTTAACGTCCCCAGTTCGCAATAACTTTAAACATTTTAACAAAGCCCTTCAAACAGTACCTAATGAAAATGAGTTCTAAGCTTTTCTTCGTTGTTATTAAAACCCTAGAAGCATTAAATAAAACAATAAATGAAGGCAGTAAGCAATTGAATATTCAATTAAATTGTGCATAAATATAAGAGGCGTTTAAACTCCCATGAATTTTGCATTTACAACCTGCAATCGTGCGCATGACAAGTTTGGTTGGTTATTTCCATCTCTATTCGTGTAATATAAAGTTGGTTTTAGTTTGTCATTTTCAGTTTTGCGACTTGCACTGCCCAGAATCTATTGTTAAAAATGTATTAAACATGTAGGTAAATATCTAAACTATAAAAGTGAAAGATTATTATAATTTTAAGAAATAAAACCTCATTTGTAGTATTGGACATGAATAGTGCAATTCCATTCTAATTTTGAATTTTTGAAATCGAAATATTTCTTTCAAAACTTTGAACGGAACTGTCAAATGAGTTACGTAATTATTAATTTATTTAACAAAATCTAAGAAAAAAAAAATAGATTCATCGCCAAATCCAATTACGAAAATGTGTTTTTTTTTTACATTTCATTTTATTGAAATGACGAACGAACTTACTCGATTTGTTTTTTTTTTGGAACTTTTAAATATCGTGTTTGTATCTGTCAAATATTTTTTCAACGTTGATTCTACATTTACCTATTAAGAAAACAAAGTGTAGATAACGTCGTCACGTGCCCTGTTATGCATCATTACCCTAATGTACGTTTGTTTGCTGTTACGGTTTATCCAAAACCCCATTTAAAAAGTAAGCAAAAAAATTCTAATTTTTGACAAACATTGTCGAGTATGATATAATAGATGTTTTGATTCATTGAACATGATATTTGGTTACGTACTACCTACACATATTACTATTTGTGAGGCAGCCACGCTTTGGCACAAACGGGCCGGTTCGACCGGAGTGATACCACTATCTCATCGTCGTGAAACCATCCTTGCATATACATTTCGTCGTACCAGTGAGTCAAACCCTCACCCATCCCCATTTCACCCAATCCTTAACCCAGGTACGAACTTGCAATTCGTCTGTTGTGCGCAGAACATATTACTCTCTAAGGTTGCTGGTGTCCATTGCCGGCGACGACCGTGTGCCATAAGGCAATTAAATCATTTCATTGTAATAACACATAAATAACATCTTAATATCAATATCTTATTTGTATTTCAAATGTGCATTTCTTATAGTAGAATAGGTAAAAAGTTGTATTTCGAAAAAATCTGTTTAATTCTACAAAAATGCAGGACACATTGATTTCCCGCCATTTTCACGCCGCCATTGTCTGCAAATGGCTACCGTTTACGGATGCGCTCCGAAACCATGTTTGTATACTACAGGAATGTTTGACGTAGTAATGTTGAGAAATTGTGATGCTTCAACTAGAAAAATATAGTTCTAAAATAATCTATTCAAATAGTTTTAAATAATATTTCTATTTATGCACATCACACATATGAAAAATGTGAAAACAGTAAAAGGAAACAGAGTTAAATCCGATCTGCTTATTTCTAATTGGAATCTCTTTCTGCGGCCCTTCTAAATAAGAAATTGTGATTTTTGACTTAAAATAAATATTTATTATATTTTATCTTTAGAAATGTTTCGTTAACCACGAAACAAACAACAGTTCTATTTAATTGATGAATTTCGTTCTAAAACCCAAAATATTAATAAAATAATACATGTGTATTATTATTAATATGAACAGGCATCGAAACACTGTAAACAAAATACGGCATTGCAAACATTTACCTACGATTTGCAAAACCTTTTTCAAAGGCTAAAGAGCATTAAGCGTATGTACATCAAGTGCATCAGGGTCGCAAACATATGGACCCTATTACGATTCAACATGGTGTAGCAATGAATAGTAATGAATTTTGTTCGTTCGCACCTCACCGAGGACAAATTTATTGGGCTATAGATGGACACTTCAATAAAATTGATGCTGTTGGGATGTGGATAGGGTTGCTAGGTTATTTTTATAGACTTTTTACTTTGTCTAAGTTGAGTGGACGGGCTTTATCCGATTTATGGAGAATCGATTAACTGTTTCTTATTCGTCTTTTAATACCATAGTAGTCAGCAGAATGATTGTCTTTTTTTTGGTAATGAGATGATGTTATTTGATTGATATCGAAGTTCAATAATTATAATTTATGTCCCGATTTTTTTCTCTTGTAGATTTCTCGTCTTTTTTAGAAAGCTCATTAAGATCTTTTCGACACATTAAGCAATAAAAAAGTATAAGGTATTCTTTTTGTTTTGAAAGAAATAGAGACGTTAGTATAGAATAAAATACTTAGAGGTTATGTTATATTTCTATAACTATCTAAAATTAGAATAAGGTTCATACTGGGTTTATCCAACCACTGTTATGGGACTGTTTAGCAAAATCATCACGTTTTTAGTTCACGCGAAGATTACCAACATCGCAGCGTGGTGTATCGGATTGCCTTCTAGGAATAAGATGCAATCTGACTGAGTTGGGAGGCTGATGAATGGCGATAACAGATCAGTAGTATGGCTATCTAGACCATCGTGACTGAAATGGTCTAGAGTTCAGACTTGTGCCTTTTAAATTAGCCTTTTTTGTTGAAGCGTGCACACTAGTCTAGGTAAATATTGCAAAATAAAATATTGTTTTCAAAGAAAGTTTCTGATAACTTAAATAAATAAGTTTACCTTATGCAAACATGAAATTGCCACCCTAAAACTTTTAAGCTGTTTATAACCCCAAAAAAAACCCAGTCAACGGCACGTGACCCCATACTCAAACCTTTTTATACAACTGGTAACACAGAAAAAAGTTCCACTATACCGGCTCGCTAACATTAATCACTTTTTTTTTAATAGTACGGCAAAGGCAAGGTAGCCGTGCGGTGTCATCTTTATTGTTATTCCTTTAGATAATGGAAATTAATTGTGCTACGTTTCTGATCAGAATTTAAATCGATTTCACTTCTTGTTTCAGCGATTACGGTTTAAGATTACTGCACATCGATATAGTATCACCAATAAAATTGTACGTGTTAGTTTTGTTAAGTGGAATTTAGAGAATTGGGAGAATCTTATCTTTGTTGATTTATTGAGTGATAAAAAAATGCTAGTTTCAAAGTATTGGTAAAGTTATACGTTACTGAGGATTTGACATTTTTGAGATCAAATATACTTAATAGCTGAAAAATTTTACCAATGGTTTAAGAAAGCCGGGCGTAACGTTTGAAGTCAATGTATAGTGAGAGGCTATGTTTGGCGGATAGCAGAGATCTGTTATGGGCAACAGAGTATGTAAGCAGCATATACGATACTCCTTCAGTTTTATAAGCAGACACTACACCAAGACAACAAATAAAGTCCTGCTTGGTAGCCGCTACCATACTAGGCCAAAGGGATTGTCCTGTCAGAATTTAGCGGTAAATCTCAATTGTATCCCAAATACAGAGACATAATAAAACTGCAATAAAATTCGCTCACTATTCTCGAAATAGAAATCTTAACATTTTCTTGTTTTATTTTTTGTGATGGCAACAATAAAAGTTAAATAATTCATAAGGAGTCTGCGCGGTTGCGGGCGCGCATGCGCGTCACGTGTGCGCGCCGGCCGGCCGCCGCGATCACGATGATAATTCCACTACGGGCAAAAATAATTCTATTCCCACGATCGTAAAATCACGATGTTTTACATGAAAGCAGCAAGAATTGGTCGTTTTTTGGTGAAAAAAATATCCGTGGTGTGAGTTATAATGAAGAAGTATTTCGAGCACCGGCTGAATGGATGTGAATTAGTATTCCGAATAGAACTCATACCTATTAAGTAAGTAGTAACTTTAGTAAGAAGTAACTTTTAAACCCTAGCATTTCTCATATTTTGCAACATTTGAGTGTTTTTTAATTAATTGTTATTAGGGCGTGCTAGCATACAAAAGGTGGCATGATAGTCAGCAATCGCACTGAAGAAAACTGGACACCGACTTAAAAATATTCGAAATTCTGACCCAACTCCATCATACATGCCATCTTTTGTCTCAGCGGTAAATAAGTGTCCACTGACGACACCGTAACTAATTTGTCACAAAATGACATACAACCTCCATAATTGGATTTTAATGTGGCCACTTATAAAAATTAAATTAATAACCTCACTCGAATGCCGTCATGAATCGCAAGTACAAGTACAGACAAAAACACAACCGAATTTCACCGAAATAATTGAAAATGGAACATAATAGGTGTGACGAAAAACAGATAATAAACTGTCATCATATTTTTGTATGTTGCAACACGGAGGAAATCGGTAAATGGCAGCATTTGTTGAGTGAAAATTATAATTTGGGCTGTATAACTGATCATTTGATTTCAGTTTATAAAATGTCATGATACTAATTTGTAAATTTTAATTTTGTGTTCTGTTTTAATCAATTTTTTAATTTTTTTTACTAATCTTTTTTTGATATTATAATTTTATTTTCCATAACTACACCTACGTATAGGTACTTTTAACATCTAATATATAAGGTGTAGATGTTAATTTAACTTCACAGGATACAATTACACTTTTACTTGTTGATTTTAAATGTTTCAAAAATTTTATAAACTATATTTTATTTAATGCGCATTATAAACTTTGATATTATTATTATTATAGCATTTTATTTCAAACCTTACCTTTGATATGGCTCCCGAGAAACCGGCTTGGCACATGCCAGTCTTGCGCTGTCCGTGACTTGCTGTAAATCAAAAAAACATATCCATTACCAATCAATATTGCCCCGCGATGAATAATACACATATATTATGAGGCATTAATATACAATTTAGGTGTATACATACAAAGTGCAGGACAACACTCGCAGCTCTACATTTTTTTAATACAATTCGCGGAAATATTGTTTAATTTGTAATTTTTAAAATAGATTTCAAGCTAGACTGACAGTTGACATTTGTTTGACACTAGATTTTTTTGTGGCAACATTATGGTTATTTTATGCCCCGGTTGATGGCAGAGGTGCAGATTATAAAATTTCTTGTTACACATCAGGTTATGTACTAGGTACGTATATTACGACTCCCGTGAGTGACCTTTTAGTCACACTTCTGAACGATACCCACATTAGACCACTGTCCTAAAATGGAACAATTCAAAAATCGAACACTGACTATTGAAGCAAAATCAACATCACTCATTTGGTAGAGTTGCCACGATTCAATAAAATGCAAACTGTAAGTCAATTTTTAATAATAAGAAAAACATTTTCTCGTTGTCAATTGAGCAATTTATTTCACGATCTACAAGGGATGGATGAGATGAATAAATTAATATTATAACAGTGTCCATGATGTGGTTTTAACACAATCATTATGAAGTGTATGAATGTCTACTGGACGACAAGTGCAACACATCGTATCTTACTCAGAGAAACTCACCCTCGTCCAACGAGACGTGCCCTAAAGAAAGTATACATAGTTATTTCACAGAATATTATAATCAGGGCCTGTTTCACTATGTTTAGAGTCATAATGTAACGGATAAATTTAAATATAGAACGTCATTTGTATGAACTATGTATCACATTTTTTTCGCAGATATTGTATGAAGGTAGTGAAACGAGCCCTTAAGATCTTTAAAATAAATTAAATACAATATATTGGAAATTAATCCGTAACCTTTCTAGACAAATTGCATTTAAACGCCAAATGATTGAACTTTAGTCTTATCATGTAACAAACTCGGCCTTATTACAAAACAAGGTTTTATTTTAGTCTAGGACTAAACCATTGAGCCAGTTTTTGTATTTCGAATTGAAGGTAGATGACAATAAGATTCAAAATTCAAAACCCGACTCAATGGTTTAAACCTGGAATAAAGATAAATCTTGTATTGTAATAAGGGAGACTTTGTCAAATGATAGAACAAAAAACTCTACGTAAAGAATTGACAATGCCATTCAACAAATTATGTCAAAAATGACGTCAGGTTCATACATTGACATAAAAAAGTGCATTGTCCAAGATTCTGGTCGATTACAAAGTTTTCGTTTTTAAAGTTATTTATTCTTCTCTAGTAAGGTAAGTAATATAAATACATAAAAACATTTACATGTAAGTAAACATATAAGCAGCAATTACCAAGAAAAATAGATAAGTGTATGTTTAATTATATGTGTGGTCCACTCTCAGTGTGCGATCGCAAATAAATAAAAATATTAAAGTTTCACGTTTCGTAAAAACTATCAAATCACACAATGATATTTCTGTAAGTAATGTAACTTGATCCTTATATTTATCGTTTTACATAAAAATGTGGTCGTAAATCATTTATACGCCTCAAGCTCGTCACGCTAATTCCCTTGGTTGCCGCCATTACCGGCGGAAGTGAGTCGGTTTTCGCGCGCATACAAGACCGCCATTGTGACGTTACGTCATGACCGCTTCATTGGCACCCTTTTACACGAGCATGCGTTGGCACTATATGAGCTTTTTTCGTTAAAATTATTTCATTTGCAAAATTTAAAACTATACATATAAGTAAAAAGAAAGGTAAGAAAAGACTTTTAATAAGGTAAGTTAATTATGTTAAAAAATCACGCAAAGCTTTCCCAAGCTTTCAATAGATTTTAGACTTAATTGCAACATCTAAAATAGAACTAAAAATCTTAAAGACAAATTGCCATCAATCTGGACTAATAATATTTTTTGTATTTATTCGGGTATTTTTGCATGTAGGTACTTACAAGTTCGGCATGGAGAGAACTCCTTGACGTCAGTCATGTCCGGAGAGTTGGCTACGAAGCACGTGCCCACTGGATCTCTCTGGTTGAGCTTCGCAGACACATAAGACACGTAGCGAGGGGCACAAGCCTGGGGGCAAAAGAAAGACGTTATTATTTAACATTAAAATGAACTTAATTAAAAAAAAATTAATGAGTCTAGGTTAACAAGGGGAATACGAAGGTACAATCAAAAGTGGTAACTGCCTATCAGACTGCATGATGGTAGATTTTAAACACCCTTGTGGGGTTTTAAAGTATTTATTGACACCATCTAAGATGTGATGTGCTGGTAGTTTTTATTCAAGAAGCACCCCTTATAAAATGGCTCTTGAAAAGTTGTTCAAAAGAAGGCGTAGTTACTCCGGATAAGGGCGATAATGAGCCGTACTAACGTTACATGTTAATTTGCTCGAGTGTTAGTTGTAACTTATAAATGTCTTTACGTCAATTTCTCACATTATTCTTCGAATAAATCACACACGATCGACTTTAAACAGAAACATAATTTAAGAGATATTTTACAAAGAATAAAATTATCGTTTAGTTAACATATGAAAACAAATAGTCTGAAAATAATCCACGGTTACTGTATGTTATGAACTTGAAAACAGTTTGGTAGTTAATTTTAACTGTAATAACACGCGTCAGTGGTGTAATCCTATGGAGTAAAACAGGGCTGTCAAAAATTTTATTAACAGGATTATCATTCATTAAATTTACTTGTGTTTAACAATTTAATGGATTCTTCGAAGTTAATTATAAGGCAAATTGGATTAAATCTATAAAATTGTGGTATGCATGTCACAAAAGATCATTCGTTCTTTAAACATGTGTTAACTAAAAGTAATAATCTTATAACAGTATTGTCACTATCTAAAATATAAATTCAACCCAATCAATTCTGGCATCCTTCAAACTATGTTATTTCTATTTACTATACACTCAACAGCCCTATTGCGCTTCGAAATGGAAAGAAAACAGTTGCATGCGCATGCGCCGCCGGTGTTAATAAGAACAAACTAACATTATAGAAAACACTACGCCATCTGGCGGAAACTGCCGTGAGGCGTGATATTAATTTATACGAACTATTTTTATGACATGGCCGTAACATAAATAATTGTGGTACTTTTAGTGGATAGTGTCGCCGTTTGGGGTCGTTTGATACTGTCCAGCCGATTTATCTAAAATTGGGTCCCTCTTCAGTGAGGTAAAAGGAAATATTTCTGTATGATTGTCGCAATGTCTTAGCCACTGAGAAAATTGTGGGCTGTTGATTCACAGTGTGTGGTTTTGGGTAAGGTGTGATATCTACACAGTTCTCAACTTAGAGTCATCAGAGGAACATAGAGTTTCAAACATTGAAATATCCAGCAGTATATTCTTATTAACTTTCCTCTTAAAATTAGACATTGACTGAGGCCAACTACTCATCACGTGTCACTTGACAAACAAACAATACTTCATAAAACGTCATGCATCCGCCAAAATATGGTCTCCGTACCCAGTTGTATGCATTTGACGTCAAAATAGGTCACATTTGGGTCAATGCAGCCCACTACAAACTTTTTATAGCCAATTGATAGCCATCGTAAACTTCGGCTAACATTAATAGCGTATTGCGTAACGACACAATGTATGGCGCTCTTTAATTCGTGGATAATGTCAAATTGTAAGGTTTAAATACCAGAAGGCTTATAGGGTAAATACGACCCGAGAAAGATGATTAATGATGATACTAAAATGTCAGGTGTAAGGTCGCAATTTTGCGTAAATTTATCGTTTTCTTGCCAATTTTATTGACAGCTATAAAGTAATGTTTTTTTATTAACATGATTGCTTTTTTGCCACAGTCTCGAAGGAATAAATAATAAGAAAAACATTCAAACTAAAAATCAGGACATCTAAATTATACGAAAAATAAAACATACCATTGATTGTTTCCCGCCGTAAAATGACAGCTAATATCATTCGAACTTGACAGAAGGTTATTGATGCGTTCGCTTTTTAATTAATCTGCGATCATCTTCATGATAATTTGTGTTTGTGTGTGACGATAAAAGTATCCAGTATGACTCACTAACGAAGTAGTGACCAATGCGAGAAGAATCTTGAGATCGTAAAACCTTTGATATACAATTGCCGCCATAAGTTGTTCACACTAAAGGCTGACAGATTAAGTTATACGCTAGTTAGATAGAAATCGGTGTTGGAAAATATGTTTTAGTAATAGAATTTATAACTTGGATCAATCATTGAATGGGAAGCAAGCTATTGAAACTATTTTCATATGATCGATATAATATTCTTACCAAATATTCATTTCAAAAACTACTGCATGTTATCAACCGTTGACTGACAGGTAAGCTCTTAAGACAAGACAAGATTTACCGTGACACATTAATCCTAAGTTCATCCCAATAACTTAAGAATTTTTATTGACCAAACAGAACGGATCATTGACTCACGTAAGTGAATCAGCTGTTTGCTCAGACGGACAAAGAAATATTGTAAAGATCGTCCAACGGGCCGCTTAGTCATACACCGATTTCTGAATATTCATATACTCAAGTATTTGTCCAAGTAAACGTGTCGCCATTTTAATATACTTACGTATACCACCAGCTTGTAAAGATAACCTTGAAATGATAGGGGTTTTCAAGGAAATATCGGCTTTATTACAAAACAACAAAGTTGAAAAAATATTGGAGGATATTGATAGAATAGGGTAGGTTGATGTGCCGGGTCTGCACTCAATAAAAGAGGAAATGTCTATTTGTCTGTTGCATATGTTTCTGAAACACCGAACCAGTTTGTTTCGTATTGTTTTTAGAAATGCAGTTGTTAGTTATATTGACTTAACAAACACATATTGGTCTTGTCTCATTTATATGTATTTTAGAGGAACATCCGTTTATAAATTATTTAATTGTTTCTATTCTTTTACATTGTCATCAACATATTTAAAGTTTTATAGTGAGATATCATAATTCAATAAGCTTCTTGATGCGATGCGATCAAATGCGATAATTTTGAAATGAATATGCTAGATGGTTCTTATTAACATCAGACTCTTGAATTTGTTACCTGCAAAACATTTCAACAACATAAAGCAAAATTTTCTCCTAATCACACTTACTATCCGTTTTGTTTTAACAAACCATTCACAACTGCACGAACCACTTCAATTGAGATACCAACACTTGAAAACCGCTCACCTAGATGCTTTCTACTTCCAACACTTCTAGCAAAAGCCTAACAAGTTTCCACCTTCAGCTCTTTAGATTCTCTGCGACTTCTAAGTCCTCGGGAACCTCTATAACCCACATTGCCATCTATTCTAGTCCCAAATCTGGGTCACTGTTTGTGCCATTTACTGGGGAGCTTGTGCAACCATTTCTTCCGAACATTCTGTATTGACAAGTTCGAACTTTGAAGTAACATTAAATATAGGTCGGTACGCCCAATATATGATTTAAATCGGTCTCCATTTGTTAGTTCAGGAGTTCGTTTAGTGTTGTGTAAGCCAAGTGTGTTGTTAGGTATTGATTGCAATGTAACATAACGTAGACGAAAATGAATTTATTGGTGTATACTTAATCTGGCTATTCTGGTTTGATTTCCGTGTTATATGCATTATTTGCTATAAGTATTTACTGTATAAAACTCTCATATTTAACCCAAAGATAAAGAATCGATAGTTTAGAAGTTTTGAATAAGTTTTGATCGAAAGATTAACCACAGAACTCTTTAGTCAACCTTACCAAAAGCGATGCTAGCGACATCTGCGTACTTCAAAGTCTTTGTAAAGAAAATCTAGAATAGCGTCTGAATTTGCCATAAAAGTGCAACTACACACGATGTAACTAACAACTAGCGGTCTGTAATATTATGTTCATAATTCCAAAGAAATATATCCTTGCTGACATTAATAGGCTATAAAGAGCAGCTTGTCTTGTTCCACTATGCAACCTCACAATTTTGTAGCTACCGTAAAATGAAATGGCAAATATGTATAGGGTCTATTACTTCTAGTAATAAAGGATGTCAGTTTAAAGGAAAATGTTGACAAATTAAGAGTTCATAACGAGCTAGTTTTGTAAAGATAATTAATGAGTGCGTACCAAGCAGAGATTAAAGATAAAGTAAATGACTGAGAAAATAATGTTACGGCGAAACTTAAGTTTTGACTGCACGATTGGCGCGGTGGCTGGGCAACTGGCTGCCGCGCAACGTGTCGCGGGTTCGATTCCCGCACGGAACAACTCTTTGTGTGATCCACAGATTGTTGTTCCGGGTCTGGGTGTATGTTTCTAACGCACCCACGACACAGGAGAACGTTTTTTTAAAAGAAAAAAAATGAAAAAAGTAATGTAGAATTACTAGCAGACCTTAATATTTGCTTCAATGATATAAATGGGTTTACAGCAAAAGCCATAGATATAGTCTAGATTTCTTCATCTTTTCTACAATACTAAATCGTAAATCAAAATAAAATATGACATCCACTACTATTGTGCATAGCCCCCAGACCACAAAACAGCCATAACATCAAAATTTCCCGCATTTCATCATGTTCTGTCAACGTCAAACAACATTATTTGGTTTCGCGCTAAAGAACATGTCATTGTTGTTTGATTTACAACGACAGACAGACATACAGTATTGTACTTCTATGTAGATATTACGGAATTGTGTCAACTACCTAACAATACTTGAGACTGGTGCAAGATTTATTGAGAAATTGACATGTTTTCTGTACATATTGTCATCTTCCCAGCGCGATGCAAGGTTGTTAGGCTTATAGAAAGTTTGGTTATGTTAGAAGTGAAATTTGGATTGAAATATTTATTTAATACATCTTAATTGAGTCTTTAAGGTTTTGATATTGGAAGTATACATCGATACATAAATATCGTTAGATATAAAAGCTATATATTTTAGACAAAAAATACAAATTTATAAAATTAAATATTATCGCTATTTAATTAAAATTTCTAGATTTTAGAACGCAATACGTGGAAATATTGTAGTTTCCAACTAGTCAAATTCAATACTTTTATCCAAATGTCAAAAACGATACTTTTC